ATACACTCGTCTTTTCCGCTGAAGTTGTCTGGATTTCCTTAATCTTGCATATATCCTTCTCCTTCCACCTGTGCTCACATCTATTTGTGGGTCAAACATCGTGTGGAAAGGCTAAGTATGTCTTACTAACAGGGGTGGAGGGGGGGGGGAGCAATAAAAAAAGACTGTCCCACATTCAGATGGATTTAAGCACATTTTACTCAATTCAGACCGAACGGTTCCAACTTATTATTAAAGAGTGCATTCCATTCTATAAGAAAATCTTCATAGTGGCCACCTACGTGGACGGCATCAGAAGAATTTGCCCTGGAAACATGGTGCACTGGTCGAGCTCAATGGGGTCTTCGAAGGATCGTGTACCATAACGACCTTTACTGAAAAGCGAGTTTCGAGGGGGCTTGCATAGTGGGAGCTAATGTCTCTAGGGAACTATCCAACACTAAGCTGAGATCTTTGAGCTTGACGACGGTGACAGATGACGTCATATTCTGAAGACGGTGAGGGCAGTGAAGGAGGGCCTGCGTCTACTTATAGAGGGACATTTAGGGAATATTTTGCTGAGGAACTTCCGTCAACGACGGCAATCTCTGCGAAGAAAAAAGGGCCGAAGTGCGACATGGCAAATTTTTTTGGCCTCCCTTTCCCCCTGTATATGATTGAAGATGTTTTTACAATAACATCTCGATTCAGATTCTACATTGATTTAGGCCCTATAATAGCGATTCTTGTAAGCTTAATAGGTTTCTTATATAGTAGTTGGAGGGTCACCACATTACACCATCCACTTTTAGCGCGGAATTACAAGACCAGATGGCTCCCAGTTCTGTCAGCGTTTAGTTTCTGATATCCCATTCCTCATAATGGTCACGAAACAAATTTGGACTGAACGATGAATCGAACAAATCGACACACTAAATTAATGATCCAAGGTAGAGATCACAACGGCTGAGGTTGCGATTTCGATGACATCATCGGAGTTCAGTGGTGAGACACCTCAGACAGCTCACTCAGGGTAGGGGTAGGGACCACCTCCCAACGCCCTTCTGCCAGTGTCGTTCATTGGCGCCACAAAGCGCACTACTCCCCAGGGTGAATATCGCTTGAGGATTCCTCAACGGCACGTCGAGGATTCTCTGCCCGATCAGACACGATCTCTCGCGCGGACATTCACACTCGCCATGCCGTGCCGTCTGTGCTCTCCGCGCGGATGTTCACTCTCGGCACTACTCTCGCATGGTAGAGAGCTATGGTCGAGACCGTTATTCACTCTGCTACTCCCCAGGGGCCGTGTACAGCGAGCCTCCAGTTGGGTGCGAGGATGGGTTTCCTCACCAACTCGGGGATGCATCGTCAACCTCGCGGACGTATCCCTAACCTCGAGGATATATCACAACCTCAGGGACATGCCCCGACGCGGTTAAGGGAATGGGTCCTCAACCTCGCTGATATATGCCCAACCTCGGAGACATATTCCATCCCTCAACGTTCAGCAAGAGAACGTTCAAGTGTTTCGTCAAAGGATCCATCACTTTTTGATGGGTCCTATGACGCGACAAAGCGAAACGACCACTGCCCCTCTGCGTTTCTAGCAGCGGGAAATATTTATATCACCCTAGTCGAGACTCAGGGGATTCGTCCCTAGTGACGCGGAGAATCGACGACACTGATCTTTCCGCATGGTCATTGGACCCATCGAAAAGTGACGGGTCGTGTGACGAAAATCTTAAGCGGTCTCTTGCTGAATGTTGGGGATGAAGATATGTCCCCGAGGTTGAGGATATATCCCCAAGATGGATGAGGGGGATGGGTCCCCTCACCCAACTTGGGGCTCACTGCATCGGGCCCCAGGAGTCGTGATTCCTTCTTTGGTATGGCCTACATAGAAAGATTAGCTGAACTGTGTGATCATGCCACGGATCTCTTTCACTGAGGGTCCTCTCTCACTGAAAGATCTCGAGCCGGTTGGTGGCGAGGCTACGTGGCGCGACCCCAGGTGGCGGATAGGGGGTAAATCGCGGACCAAAAGCCACCATGTACTTGCCCTGAGACGCAGGTGGATTCAGGGGATGGACTCCCTGTTTCTGTAGTGCTGTGTTGATTCATACCAGCTGTCTCCACTCAGGCGCATCCATGCATGCTTGCGTGTGTGGTGCGCTCTGTGTGTGTGCGGTTGGTATCCTGCATGTCGGCACAGCCAAAAGCTTGCATTCAAGTGACTGGGAAGTACATGGGAGGCGATTCGGGGCCGCCTCCAAAAAATAAGCCCCTTGTTCCGCTCCAGGATAGCGTGGCTAACTACCTGGAGGTCTATCCTAGCCCACACGACAGAGCCTGGCAAGCTACTCGTGTGCCTTCAATATGCCGAAAACAGCAATATGGATGGGCCTCATTCCCCTGAACCTGAGGGAGCCCCCAATACGGCAGCGTTGGGTAGGACCGCTCGGGAGAGGCTGCTAGAATCTCAGGGCCCGGATAGGCTGCCTAAACGAAGAAGGACTAAGATGGCGATCTGTACTTTCAACGCACGAACGCTTGCATCCGAAGCTCACATCGAAGATCTGATGATGCAGGCCAGGAAGATCAAGTACGACGTCATCGGACTGACCGAGACGAGAAGGCACCGCCCGCTACACGCCGTTTTCGATACTGGAGAAGAACTGTTTCCTTGGAACATGCGACAGCAGAGGCGTTGGCGGTGTGGGTGTCCTCGTCAACACGCACTTGGCCATAAACATCGATTCGTACGAAAGCCTTACGACCCGAATCGGACGTTTGAGATTGAGAAGATGTGGTTCAACTCCTGCTTTGACAATCTTCGTCGCCTACGCACCAACATCCAGCTACGACGAGGAGGAACACGAAGCATTCTATATGGAATTGGAGAAGTTCTACAGGGAAGATCATACCTTCTTCAAGGTCATCGTCGGCGACTTCAACGCTAAGATTGGCCCAAGAAGAACGGCTGAAGAACTTCACATCGGTACTCACGGAATGGAATGGAATGAGCAGGGTGAAGACTGTCGGAGTTTATCATGTCGACCAACACCATCCATGGTAACTCACAGTTCCAAAAGCCCCCTCACCTTCGTTGGACTTGGGAGTCACCTGATGGACAGTTCCATAACGAGATAGACCACATCATCTTCAATCGAAGGTTTTGCCTGACCGACGTCGCTGTTGTTCCAAAGTTCTACACGGGATCGGACCATCGTCTCCTCCGCGCAAGATTCCACTTCTCGATGCGTGTTGAGAGAGCAGCAAAGTTCAGGAAGCGAAGCCCCAGGACAGTCATCAACTGGGACCACTTCGCTTCCTTGTCAGCTTATGGGAGGATTCCGTTATCGAAAACATCGACGAGGAATATCATCGGCTCGTTGAACACCTTCACGAGAGTGGCAGGAAGGCAGAGAGTTTGAAAGTCACCAAAGGACGTCTGTCTCCGGAAACTCTCGAGCTGATACGCCAACGTGGAGCCGCACGAGCTGCAGGCAATCACCGACTCACGTCCGAGCTTGCGAAGCTATGCAGAGAGGCGATAAAGGAAGATCTCAAGGAGCGAAGAGCAGCAGTATTAGCTGAAGCAGCAGAGGCTGGGAGGAGCATCCGCAATGCCCGCCGAAGCTTTGCCAGCTACAAGACCAAGATGACCTGCCTCCGACGTCCGGATGGAACAGTTACTGCATCCCGAAGGGCAATGGAGAAAGTCATCCACGACTTCTACTCGGATCTCTTCGATAGCCATGTCCATCTGCCCACTTATCAACTGCAACAGGATGGATACGTCGTCCCCTCAGTTCTCTCTTCCGAAGTCCGACACGCCATCAAGTCGGTGAAGAATCGTACAGCACCCGGTCTCGACAGGGTCAAACCGGAACATCTGAAGAATGCACCGCCAGTTATCATCAAAACTCTGGCTCGACTCTTCACGCGCTACCTGTCGGAATGCAAGGTACCCACTCCGTGGAAAACCAGCAGGACCGTGTTGCTGTACAAGAAGGGGACCTGGACGACATTGGCAACTATCGCCCAATCTGCCTGCTGTCTGTAATCTACAAGCTATTCACTCGAGTCATCCTTAACAGGATCGGCAGAATACTAGATGAAGGACAGCCATGCGAGCAAGCAGGGTTCCGAAGAGGGTTCAGCACGATCGACCATATCCACACGGTTACAAGACTCATTGAAGTTTCACGAGAGTACAAGATGCCGCTTTGTCTCACGTTCATCGACTTGAAGAAGGCCTTCGACTCTGTGGAGACAGAAGCGGTCATCGAAGCCTTGGGCAACCAGGGCGTCCCTACTCAGTACATCAAGATTCTTCGTGAGCTCTACAGCAACTTTACGACCAGAATCTCACCATTCTACAAGGAGGTCATCATCGACGTCAAGAGAGGGGTTCGACAGGGCGACACCATCTCGCCCAAACTCTTCAGCGCCGCTCTCGAGAACGTCATGCGTCAACTGGAATGGGAAAGACATGGGAGTGAAGGTCGACGGCCGGCAACTACACCACCTTCGTTTTGCTGACGACATCGTTCTTATAACGCCGAACATCGAGCAAGCGGAGCGAATGCTGGCTGATTTCGACTGCGCCTGTGGTAAGGTTCGGTCTACAGCTGAACCTAACGAAGACGATGTTTATGAGAAACGGATTGGTTCCTGATGCCCCATTCACGCTCAACGGAACGAACATCACCGAATGCTCCAGCTACGTGTACCTAGGTCGGGAAATCAATATGATGAACGATCTAGCTCCAGAGCTGAGCAGGAGGAAACGAGCGGCTTGGGGAGCGTACAAGAACATCGAGGGAGTAGTGAAGAAGACGAAGAACATCCGGCTCCGTGCCCACCTCTTCGATTCCGCTGTCCTTCCTGCCCTAACCTACGCCTCAGAGACTTGGACTCTGCGCAGGCAGGACGAGCATGCGGTCAGCGTTATCCAACGCGCTGTCGAGAGGACGATGCTAGGAGTAACCCTATACACGCAAGTGCAGAGGGGAATCCGGAGTGCCGAACTACGCCAACGATCGAAGATCAGGGACGCTGCCGTTTTCGCCAAGGAATCGAAGATAAGGTGGGCCGGACACGTCATGCGATTTTGCGATGACCGTTGGACCAGAGCGGTTACCGACTGGATCCCTCGGGACGTCAAACGAACACCTGGACGACCGCCGGCCCGATGGTCAGACTTCTTCACGAAAGCTCTGAACGAAAGGAATGAAGGACTTCGTGTCCCTCGAGCGAGGAGGGTCCACTGGACAACTCTTGCACGCGACAGGGACGAATGGAGACGTTGCTGGCGCCCGCTCGAGCAAATCGACGATCAACGGGACGACAGGTGATACAGGTGATACAGTGTGATCATCGATCGCAGTATTGCTATACAAGAATACCGTGGACCAACTAACAAGTTTTGTTATGGTTTGTTCCCGTCCTTATGTCCCCTAACATCAAGATTTTCGATATCAAAAAACGTGGGGACAGAACGATAGACCCCTATGCGAATTACCGAACAGTGGTACTGTGCCAGCTCTGCTCTGTTTTATGTGAAAACTGTTGTACCACTCAAGCTACGCGGATCTGTAGAATGGAACTTCTCCAAAGAAAAAAAAACAAAGTGTTGCCCGAGATGGAGTTGAGACTCACGCGGCAATGTTTCCATGGTAGTTGTCCAATCATCCATTCCAACACCATATACCACCATGCCTCGACGTCATCCTTTCGACACTGATCTTTCTTAACAAGTACACTTTACATTTTTGGAAAACAATCTACACATCTCACGATCTTGCCGAGAGAAAAGAACATAATTCTTGAATGTACCATCTCTAGGGCCCCGATGCTAGCATATCGCGTTGTGCCTCGGAATGCTGCCTTCTCTCTCATATATCGTAGATCTTTTTCGTCTGTTCTGGAAACAACAAAAGAGTGATTTTGCAAGTTCTTGTGGATAATGCTCAGTTGAATTGTTGAATAATTTTCCTCCGCAGCTCGACGGACGATACAGTCCATATCCGAGAGACAGGGTGGGACGGGGCCATACACGTGATTGCGGACTACACAAACTTGATAGATGTCGCAGCGATCAGCTGATTTATATTCGTTGATTTCTACTATTATTTGGATCTTCTGCTGTATTCTGTTATTCTCTGGCACTACTCTACTTCGCTTCAGAACAGGTAAGTCACTTTCAGTAAAAAATAATGCTGTTATGTATGAAATTTGCACGATTTATTGCAAACTTCGGTATTGGAGCATTGTTTTTGCACTATCGATGTTTTCTATGTTTCCTTTTTGATTTCTCCTTCTTGCCTTAGATGCAGATTTCACATCAATATCATCACCGTGTTCTTTTCATTGTTGAGAACGATTTTCGAAACGGCTATGAGGCTTGCATTGTACCCTCGCCTACAAAAGACCAGAAATTGTGCAATTGCAGAAATTGACGTGGCATTAATGTAGCATTCCCCCGTCAGGTGAAGTACCTCTCCGTGGTGCGGGGGAGAAATTGTCGACAGCGATAAAGTGTTGCCCGCCACTTTAAGTGACCTGTCGTACAAGCAAAAGCTTCACCGAGTGCCCGTGCTCCGACTTCTACTGGGCCGGATTTCGCCTCACGGGACGAAATCGCATCGATAGGACACGAGGGGCTGGCAACCCCGAATGGACTGGTGCAAAAATATTAGCTACGAACCGAAATAGAGAAGATTGGAACCAAATCGATGGGGTCAGGCTCCGGCGTCGGCTTGACACCTACCCACGATTTGCGGATGCTCAGGACGTCATAAGGACTACGGCCAATGGAACTGTCAAAATATATATTGCTTGTCACAACGTCCGAACGTTATCATCTGATGCACTTACTGATGTGTACATTCAGGAGACGAGAAAAGTTAAAGCCGACGTGATAGGAGTAAGTGAAACAAGACGGAACGAAGACATAGTTGCAAAATGGCATACAGGAGATCAGGTTTTCCTTGGAAGGTCGTTTCCAAATGTACCCCGCACGGGAGGGGTAGGATTTATTGTGAAAAGAAGAGTTGTTCCACTAATTGTAAGCTGTGAAATCAGATCGCCGCGAGTCGCAATACTACTTCTGAAAGTTGGACGGAAACGAACTATGAAGATTATACAGGTATACGCACCAACAAGCCAGCATGACGA